GTTGTGCGTTGGGCCCTGTGCCACGTACCGGGCTGAGGGTTACAAAGACAAATTCAAACACTCTCTGCATTTAAGAAGTTGACCACCTAGGGGCACCTGGGTGGCTCAGTCGGTTGAGCGTCTGACTCTTGATTTGAGCTCAGGTCATGATCTCGAGATTCATGGGATCGAGCCCCACATCAGGCTCCCAGCTGACAGCACGGAGCCTGCTTGGGCTTCTCTGTCCTCCTCTCTCTCTGCCCCCCCACTCCAATACATAAATAAACTTTACAAAGTTTACTGCTGGCACACCTGGGTGGCTCAGTCTGTTAAGCATCCGACTTTGGCTCAGGTCATGATCTCGCGGTTTGTTGAGTCCGACCCCCATGTCGGGCTCTGTGCTAACAGCTCAGAGCCTAGAGCCTGCCTCGGATTGTGTATCTCCCTCTCTGCCCCTCCCATGCTCATGCTCTGTCTCTCTCTCTCTCTCTCTCAATAATAAATAAACATTAACAAAATGTTTTAAAAAGTTTACTGCCTAATGATATTTAACCAGCCCCATTTTCTGAAAGAGGAAACGGAGCCTCTGAGATGCCTTACAACTGTTAAGTCATTAGAGCAGAGCCATAGCTCAGAACCCACCAAATGCAAGAAGGAGGTGGTGTGAACCTTGTACCAGCATTTCACCCAAAAGTTTTCAAAACTCTCCAGTGGGGTGTCATATTTCACACCAGGAAATTTTGTGAGGCTTCCCAGGGACTTTCAGTAGTAAACAGGGGGAAGTGTTACCCATCTGCGGTGTTTCTAAGTGGTTTTGAGATGTCACTGCCGTTCTGGATAAATCCCAGGGGACCTTTTAAAAGTTAAACTTGAATCTGGCAAGAGTCTTGGCCAAATGGGGCAGAAATCTGAACCACCCTGAGGGCGTGGGGGTGAGAGCTGGGAGTACAGTAAGAGGGCTTGCTCAGGGAGAAGAGAAACAAGAGAAGCCCAGGAGGCTGGGTTCTCTGAGTTCAGAGAGAGGCGGCAGAAATGAAGTAACCTGACTGGCTGGGATTGTGGGGGCAAAGATTAGATTGGACTTGAAAGGTCAAAAACGAGGCAGCATTTTTTTTTTTTAACATTCATTTTTGAAAGGCAGAGACGGAGCACGACTGGGGGAGGGGCAGAGAGAGAGGGACACACAGAAACAGAAGCAGGCTTCAGGCTCTGAGGCATCAATCAGCACAGAGCCTGATGCGGGGCTCAAACTCACAGACCGCGAGATCATGACCTGAGCCAAAGTCGGCCACTTAACCAACTGAGCCACCCAGGCGCCCCTAAAAACTGAGGCAGCATTTTTAAGTCGGGAGGGAATTTTGGTGATGGGACGTCTGTGCAACAAACAGACTGAGGTGTCTGTTCAACAAACCACGCTCATGGCCTTCTCTGGGTCAGGCAGGGCAACCAGGCAGTGTGGCAACTAAAATGACTAAGATGTAGATCCAGCTAGGGAGGCAGACCCCGGAACAAAAAGCGACAGTGCAGCGGCTCAGGGCCAGACGAGGGCAGGAAAAGGGAGGGAGCAGGCAGGCAGAGAGGGCCTCACAGGGAGAAACTGAGCGTTAAAGTCCGATCAGAACTCCGGATTTTATTCTTGGTGTGATGGGGCTGCCATCACACTAAGCTTTTGAGGAAGGGACTGCAGTGCTCCAATTTACATTTTAAAAAGGTCATTCTGGCTGCTGTTTGAAGCAGGACTGGATGACTAGATGCAGCAGAGAAGGTCCCTGCAGAGAAGGTCTCTGCGGGAGTCTAGGAGGGAGGTGATAGTGTGGGGATGGTGAGAAGAGTCAATTTCGGATAGAGAGTTGGTGAATTTCAAAGTAGTGCTGACAGGATTTGCTGATGGATTAGATGTGGAGTTGAGAGGAAGTGAGGGTGACTCCTGAATTTAGGGCCTTGGCAGCTGGGTGAGGAGGACTGGGGGCAATACAGATCATGGGGAAGATGGGCCTGGGGGAGCTAAATTAAGAGTTTTATTTTGGGGGAGCGCCTGGGTGGCTCAGTCAGGTAAGTGTCTGACTCTTGGTTTCAGCTCCGGGCATAATCTCATGGTTCCTAAGAT